TACTAGACAAGTAGGGTGTGATAAATCTATGTGATTCTTGAGTCTTAAGACTTGGTTAGGGGAAGAATTCTCCAAGGGTTTGGAGAACTGACCAGAGAAGTCCTAGACTATTGCGAGGAGAGTTTAATGAGGAATGGATAATGTTGGGAGCTCGAATGACCAAAATGCAGAGAGAAATATATACTACTCATGAGATTTCCGGTAGAGATGAGACTCTTGGAAAACAAACTGGAAAGGTCTGTATTACATTATGGGAAAGGATTTGTGTACATTTTTGTCAATGTCCTGAGACTAAGGCTAAATTCAAAATGAAGGCATTCATTTGGCAGAGGAATTTCTAGACAGGTTAATAGTTAGACTGTGACATGTTCATTGCACATGTCTTTTAGCTGTGCTTAGAATAAGAACTAGAGTAAAAAACTGTTGAAAAATGTAGTTTGTCAAGAAAGGGAATATTTAAAGTGGGTACAAAGAGAATATATGTGGTTGTTTGGAGCTTAGCACCATGCAAAAGCATTTTACTCATTTGGAAAATTGTACATTATGAAGGAAGCTCCGAGAAACATTGTATGCACAGCTCTTAGGTTTGTTTGAGGGGTTTTATTTTCTTTTCCCCCTGTGTTTATCTTATGCAGACTTAGTCTAAATGGCCCTGGCTCCTGCCCAGGCTGTCAGTAGGTCTTAGCATCATCCACATGGAGTTTGTTTTTTCAGGCATGTAAAACTTGAACTGAATGCATGGAAGATTCCACCAACATGTAAAGGAAGGCGTAGGAGTCTAGATGGTGTTTTTGAGTCAGAGTCCCTGCAGGTAGCCTCACAGTGTGATGCATGAGACTTAAGTTGCAGCAGAGATTCCAGGGTGTTAGATGGCAGAAACCAACAGTGGCAACATCTGCAAAGGGAAGCTACAGGCAGCAAGTGGAGCCCGCCTAGGAGGGCACAGGGGCTACAGTGAGAAAGGCTGTCAGGGCAGGACTGCCCAGACCTGTTAGCACTCTCATATCATACCACATGCTACAAATGCCACACCTGAAACTGCAAGAATTTAACTTTTGCCAAAATGGATATTGTTCTTTAATCCCATTCTTTCTAGTTGTTCTTAACATTGTACTATTGTATATTGGAGATATGTAACTTATTTTCCCACTTTATAGAGGTCTTACTAGGAGTTTAAATATCTGCAGAAGTTTGAATTTATAATTTTGAATGGTGGCATATAAGAGGTGGCACATATGCACTGTAAAATGCCCACGATCTTTTTATACTCATGTGGAGAATGTTATCATTTGAATAGGAAATTGCCCCACAGACTTGACCCACATTTAGGGCTCTATTTTGGAAAGTTCTAGATAAAGTAGGTTACTAGGAGCATAGCTTGGAAGGGGATAACTTGGCTTCTGGTTCTTCCTTCTCTTTACTTATCTGCTATGATGTTCTGCAATAGGTTCAAAGATAGGGAGCCATGTGACTGAACTTTCTGAAACCATGAGCAAAAATCCTCATTTTAAGTTGTCAAATATTTTGGTCAGTATAATTTGATTATCTTTAATTTCATAGTTTTATGGCCCCTAAATAACCTACAGATTATTTAATGAGCATTACCATAACTGATTATGGTAAAGCCTTTTATTATATGAAATATAGTATGTAAGTACAGTTTGAAAATAAGGGAGACCAGCCATTTCCAATAAGTTATGTCCATCTCCAGTTGTGTGTTAATCAACCTGGTGTTATCAAATGTTGAATGTTCTCAGATGGTACTAAGTCAGCCGAGGACCTTGCTTTCTGTTGAGTGAGTCCTTTGTGCTAATGATACGATGCTGTATCTAAGCT